TCTTTGGAGATGTAACCATGGTAACATGAGGTCTTTAGGGAAGGCCTAATCCAATATGACTGGTTCCTGGTAAGACAGGGGTTCTCAACCTGTGGGTCGAGACCCCTTTGGTGGTTGAACGACCCTTTCCCAGGGGTCGCCTAAGACCATCCTGCATATCAGATATTTACATTACGATTCATAACAGTAGCAACATTACAGTTATGAAGTAGCAACGAAAATAATTTTATGGTTGGGTCACATGAGGAACTGTATTTAAAGGGCCCGAAGGTTGAGAACCACTGTGGTAAGAGGAGGACATAGACACGTGAAGATGGACATACAGGGAGGACACCATGTGAAGACTAGAGGGATGCGTCTGCAAACCAAGGAGCACCAGGGATCACTGGGAGCAGCAGGGAGAGGAGCACAGGGATCACTGGCAGCAGCCAGGTAGCTGGATCGCCAGGCCAGCCTCCCTTCCCTGCAGAGCAGCGGGAGTTGTTGAGTGGGGCCGCCCTCACTGTGTTAAAGGGGTAATAAGTTCCATTTGAATTACTGACATTCTGGAGAGCATTTTCCTCTGTGAGTGAAAGGAATGTCTTAAAGCGCCTTGTTTACCTTTACAGGGATGTACTGAAAGGGTAATCCTTCTCCCCCTCATCCGCCCACCCTGCACTGGCTCCTGCAACATGGGGGAGAGGCAGAAATGTGGGTGCCCTGGCCTCGTGCTGGGGGAGGGACAGGTGGGCAGATGGACACAGGACAGTGCGATGAGTGACAGCTCAGGGTGCCCGGGTGAGCAGAGGCGTCTACAGAGGTGGAAATGGCAGTGAACTTGAAGAGAACATCTGAGGTGGCCGTGAGTCAGGAGCAGAGTGGCTGGGAAGGAGCGGAAGGGTCCACTCCACAGGACAGGCACCCATGAGTGGGCTCCTACCTCGACAGAGGGGTCTGATCGGACCTCTTCTGACATTTGTCCCCTGAGCACAAAGCAGAGGCACACCCATCAATCCACCACCTATCCCTTCAACACTCGTGAGCAGCCGCTCTGCGTGGGCACTGGGCAGAGTGGGGGGCACTTCTGCCCAGTCTCAGAGCTCAGGGGCTAACCGCTCAGCCCTGGGACCAAGTGAATGTATGAAAAGGAAGTAAAACATCCCCCACCTTCATTGCCAGGGCGATCAAGGCACCTTCCGTGGGCTGTCCCATCACGGCGTTCTTCCTGATGACAGCATTGTTGGCGACACAGCCTGCCTGCAAGGGGGCATTTCTGAATCTTTAGTTAATATTCGGAGCCGGCCCCTCCGGGTCCCGGGCCCACTCGGGCTGGAGAGAACCCCCACCAGCCCCATTTTAAATGCGTATTTCTCTCACGGTGCTGCTGACACCTACCTCCACCAATTTCCCCACGGAGACGTTGGAAAACTCCTTAACGACTTCCTTTGACGGTAAAAGACAGACTGTCCCTTGGCCATTATACCCAACTCCGCTGACCTGCAGGGCAAAGGGACAGAAAGGATGTCATCAGAGTCAGAAATACACTCCCCTGGTTGAGCCATGATATCTTTTCTGGGGATTCATTCCAAGGACAAAATCCTGGCCACACCCACGGCTTCAAGCATGGAGACAGATGCTCCCCGCAGGACTGCATGTTAGCGGAACCGCTCACTAACCGCCACGAGCCGGTAAACGGCAATAACTTTGCTCTGCAGCCAGGAAAAATCTGGGTAAGAAAACCAAGTAGCAGCACCGGAGAGTGCTTATGTTCTAGAAAGAGCTGGCAAACCTTCCCTTCTAGCGCCAGATAGCAACTAGTCTAGCCTTTGTGGCCCATGCACATCTCTGTGGCGAGGACTCAGCTTTGCTGTTTGGGGTGAAAGGAGACACCGACTACCTATGAACAAAAGCGGTGGCAACGTGCCCACAAACTTTATTTGCAAAAGTAGGCCCTGGCCCCGGGCTGTCACGGCTGACCCCTTGGTGTGGAAGGTTTTGTGAAAAAAGCAGCAAGATACAAAACTGCACATTCCGGGAGCCTACGACTGTGCTGACACACAGGAGAGACTCAAAGCCCAAATGGACTAATCGTGATGCGTTTACCCTGGGAGCTTATGGATAAGAGTCTTCTAGCTTTTAAATTTTATACTGTGCTTATTATTAAATATAATAAAAATGAAGATGGTGCCGAACCGGTTTGGCTCAGTGGATAGAGCGTCGGCCTGCGGACTGAGGGGTCTCGGGTTCGATTCCGGTCAAGGGCATGTACCTTGGTTGAGGGCACATCCCCAGTAGGAGGCATGCAGGAGGCAGCTGATCGATCTCTCTCATGGATGTTTCTAACTCTCTATCCCTCTCCCTTCTTCTCTGTAAAAAATCAATAAAATATTTTAAAAAAATGAAGATGGCTATCTTAAATCAGCCATGTTCCTTGCAGCTGTTGGTAACAAGGACTTTGCTCTATTTGTTTTCTCCATGTTTTCTAGAAGTCTCCCTGTGCTTTCTCCAGGAAGGAAAGGGTCTGGCAGGGCACGCCCTTGTCTTGAACCTTGTAATTCACACAGCACTCACCTCGGCGTGGAGCCCATCAGACGTTACAAGTTGGCTGACAGTCATTTCGTTGGCGGTCAGGGTCCCCGTCTTATCAGAGCAGATAACATTGCAGCAACCTGCCAGGAGAAACAGCAGAGTTTATAGAAAAAAGCAGTTCATCGCCACCAACTCTCAGGCCTATGAAATACCCACGCTGAATGAACATGGCACCAAAACATCCATTCAATCCAATTTTTAAGGATTCAATTAGCTGGACTCCCTCACCCAAAGTCTCCACGATCGGCAACTTCTTCACAATGACCTGCTTCTTGGCCATCCGCAGGACTCCCAGGACCAGCGTAACCATGACAACGATGGGCAGGCCCTCTGGAATGGCAGCCACAGCCAGGCTGGATCGAAAGGCCAAATGGGTCACTTTTAACATGGACTTAAGAATGATACGAGTTCCCACTGGGATTGGCAACACTTTCCCCTGGTGGAGCTCCTCTCTAGTGTCCCCAAAGTTCCTGTTCTATTCTCTGTTCCCCATCTGTTCCCCATTCCATGATGCACCTGCCTCCTCCTTCAACATCCATTGTGCTGAGCCCCAACCTCCCCTCCCCCCCCGCAAACGCAAACACACACACACACACACACACACACACACACACAGTCCTGCTTTTGGGAAGGGATCTTATCTATCAGACACCCACATTTTAGTGTGAATTAGTCTGCCAGCCATTTTGCCTCTTTAAGTGCTTCTGCATCTAAATTGTTCTCATTTATTAAAGAGAAAAGTTTCTGGGCCCTGGAAAAGGAATTTCCAGAATCAGGCAATTAGTAGGAGGTAGAATTTTTTGCTTCAGTGGGTCCTCCCTTAAATTTCACTTTTCATTGCTCTAATGGTTTAGACACTTCTGGTAGGGAAGCCAGACAGAAAATTAAAATTGAGGGAGGCAAAGTGACACAGCTATGCCTTTAGCAGATCTGTTTGGGGTACCTGCTCACTTCTTTATCATTCCTACCCCTTCAACTCCTTATTGTGGGACCTCGCTCTCCCATAGCCACAGTTGACTGGATTAGAGGAGACCATGTGTTCCAAGCTGAACCAATGAGCTTCTAGTATTTGGGAATCTGAACTGGGATTGCGAACATGGATCCCCTTCCTGTGGGCAGGATGTCAACATGTGGTAGGCTGTTAAGAAGGGGATCTTTCTGCCTCAATTTGGCTCCAGAGCATCAGGGCTGACTGCTCCCCCATCCCACATTCCTGTCTGGCCTGTCTGAGGGCAGAGGGCCGGATAATGACCAGCTGACCTCAGGCCGATGGGGGAGGCTGGAGATGAGTGAGTAAGAGGGTCCTTTTGTGCAGATCTGTGCAGTGAGCGTCACACCCACACCCACCAGGGTCACCCTCTGCACGGGAACCTCCAGCAGAACCCTGCAGGCCTTCAGTAAATATTTGCTGAATGAACGAACTCACAAGTGAATATATGGCAGGAGTCTCGACCCGCCCTGGCCTAGCACATAGCGAGCGTTCTATGTGGCTGGTTAATAATCAGAAAGCCTAGCTGAGGAGGCCCATTCAACCAAAGTCACACACAGCTAACGTATTTCACCCAATTTTAAGACAAGCCTGCTTGTGAAAAACACCATTATCTTGTGTATACTAAGAAAAAATATCGCCAATTCATCAGCAACACGATGCTTTATCGCAAGTCTGACTTCAGAGAAGATGTGAAAAAGGATGTGCATCTTAGAATTAAAGAAATACGGTAATGAAGGTGGCCTTTTACCCGGAGACAATGGAGCATTCAGCTATAGAAACCAAGATGACTGACGTTGGTCGAGGGACTGTGCCTGGTTTCCATGGGGATGGCAAGAAGGCTTGCTTGGTTTTATGACACAGGCTGACAAGGCTAACTAAGCAAACATCTGCGAGGGTTAGGAGGGGACTTTCCCCCGGTACGGCGTGGGGAGGGTGGTTTTTGTACCAGGAAGCTTTCATAATAACGAAAAAAGAATCCACAAACTGATAAAGATAAGGATGGAAAAGCAAGTATACCGTGGGTCAGCTTGAGTGTCTCTCGAGGCAGAGGGAACAGGATAAAGTGTTTAAAAGAATGCCTCCCATTTATGTATTTTGAAGAGTCTCTTCCTCACTGGCTATCCTGCCATTTCTACATTCTAACGTGGTGGTTCCGAGTGACTTCAATTCTGCTAAAAACCTCCTTTCAAAGTCACAAGGGAAATGAACAGTCAGTTTTCTCTTAACGGTAAGTTACCCCAGATGCAGTAAAATGAATGAGAGGAAAGGGAATGTTAAGACAGGAAATCAGGAATGACCTTGGGGAAGTAAGGTAGGATGGACATGGAAGGCTTTTTTGTTATTTTCCTGGAAAGAGTTAACCGTCTTTGGCTCACAGGACTTCCCATGGTCTATAAGATGGGAATGGAAAGCTTCATTATTTCGGGGAGGTCTTTGGCACCATGGCACCTGGGAGCTCAGGCGCCCCAGTCCCCCTGCCATCACCCGCCTCTGACAGCGTAGTCACCTGAGCACTCCCTCCAGGGGCTGACTTCTTCCCTGGCCCTGCTTCTTGCCGGACCCTGCCTGGGGCAGCTCCTCGTCACTGCCTCGCTGCTCCGAGTGCTTCCGGAACCGGGAGCATCAGCACCCAGCCTGTCGCTAATGGCCAGGTAACCGTATCCCTTCATTCACACACAGATAAGCTTGAGCATGTACCAGAGACACCCAGCCCTACAGCAAGGCTCTCCTGCCCACCGCTCAGCCCTGGGAAGCAGCACCCATGGCCTCCGGGTCCCAGCACAGACGGTGCCGGTCATTGCGAGGTGCGTCACTGTAACTTACTGTAATGACAGCTGCACAGGGTGTCTGCCAACACTTGACTTGTTATATGTGAACCAGAGAGGCTCGGGGACCCGATGAATAACCACATTCCTAATGGTCTGCTCCATGCTCTCCTTTGTTGTCTTTTGTGAGATACAATTCACATGCCCTAAAATTCACCCTTTTAAGGTATATAACTCAGTGGTTTCCAGTAGAGTCAGAGTTGTGCAACCATCACTAAAATCAAGTTCAGACCATTCTTAGCACCTCCGAGAGAATCCCTGCAACTGTTAGCAGTCACTCCTCGGCCCGGCCTGCAGACCACGCGTCTGGTTTCCGCCTCTATGGCGCTGCCTAATTCGGACATTCCACATGAACGACGTTAACAGTATGTGGCCTCTGTGTCTGGTTTCGTTCACTAGCATCGTGTTTTCTAGGGCCACCCACGTGGCGGGTGTCGGTGCTTTTTCCCTTTTTGTGGGTGAATAATATTCCAGGGATGATCTTTATCCGTTCATTAGCTGATGGGCATCTAAGCTTGTTTACACCATGGGTTTGGTGGCCTAAGTGTCTATGTTTGCTCACAGACAATAAAATAATTTCCCATGTATCACCTAAAGCAGTTTGCAGACACCAACAGCAGGGGGGCCACACTCTGGAATCCACGGGGCTTAACGTGAGCCCAGAAACGTGTTGGCTTTTGTGTGCCCCAGAAGGGTCACCAGCTGCCCTTCTGCTGGGACATATCCAGGAAGAGACCGTCCCTAGCTGTGGCGAGCAGCCGTGGAAAAGCTGGGGCAACTTCAGCCACTGAGCCTGCTCCCTGCTCATCTCCGCATCGTCCACCGGGCCCGGGGGTGTAACTGTCGCTTGTTAGAGTCACCTTGTGGAGGGAAGGCAGGTTCCTCGGGCCTAAAGCCAAGGGCCCTGGTTCCCAGCCCTGCCATCAGCTGTGGGCCTCTGTGACATGACCTTTACCGTCTCCTATAGATTCCTCTGTAAAAGAAAGACCTAGACCAGTGGTTCTCAACCTTCCTAATGCCACGACCCTTTAATACAGTTCCTCATGTTGTGGTGACCCCCAACCATAAAATTATTTTCGTTGCTACTTCATAACTGTAATTTTGTACTGTTATGAATCCTAATGTAAATATCTGATATGCAGGATGTATTTTCATTGTTACAAATTGAACATAATTAAAGCATAGTGATTAATCACAAAAACAATATGTAATTATAGATGTGTTTTCTGATGGTCTTAGGCGACCCCTGTGAAAGGGTCGTTCGACCCCCAAAGGGGTCTCGACCCACAGGTTGAGAACCGCTGACCTAGACGGTGCTTCAAAGGAATACTAGGAGCAAACACACACTGTGCGCTAGGATTGTTGCAGGAACCTTCATGGGCTCTCATCTCATCCTCGCCATGACCGCAGGAGGGGCTATCTCATCACTCCCATTTTACAGAGGAGAAAACTGAGGCACAGAAAGTGCAAAAGTCTGCCTAAGGTCACACAGCCAGCAGTGGTAAAGCCAGAATGTAACCCTAGGCAGGCAGGCAGGCTCTGGAGTCCACACCGTTAGCCAGAAAGATCCAAACCCACGGGCAAAAAAGTGATGGGAACAGGGGGTCCAAATCATACGCTTTCATTTGTTTCGCAAGCTTTCCCTGGGCACCCCCACCTGCCAGATAATGTACTCTTGGGGGCTGCGCTTGGGGTGGGGAGGACGCATCTTCCCCACACTGTTCCCGCGCCCCAATCTTCCTGCCTTGTCTTGCTGCACTGACGAGGGAGGGAGGGAGGGCTCGGAGCCCTTACCTGACCCCAATCGTGAACATGCTGAGAAGGTGCTTCCCTTGCAGCCAGCCAGTGAGAATGATGACGCCTGGAGAAGAGACCAAAACAAGACAAAACATGTGTGTGTACACACACACACACACACACACACACACACTCCAACACTTAAAGACATGACAGCATTTCAAGTGTTTACAGGAGAAGAGACACAGGGCAGTGATTAAGAACCCCAAGGACTTGTAACCACTTTTTCCTCTTTAAGAAACCCTTGTATCTACAGAGAAGAGTGTTTTACTTGTTCTGGAAAAGATCCAGCCAGTTCAAGTCAAGAAAGAAACAACTGGATTGTTCTGGGCGGTTGTGACAGCTACAGATTATTCCAACAACCCCCATGTGCCGTGCGGCTCCAGGACTCCCCCTGAGGCGGCTGAGGTGGCAGGTGATGCCTCTCCGTGATGGGCAGATGGGCCACAGTTTCCCGAGTGTTTTTATCTTGCCATGTTCACGATTAAATACATTCCCCTTTCCATGTTCTCCTTCATCAATCATTTACCCAATATTTACTAACCACCAGGCCCTGTGTTAGGCTCAGGAATCATGGAGACTGTCAGGGGTGGACCCTTGAGGGCGAGAGGTGGCATGAGGCATGCTGGGACCCGTGAACGTTCACAAGAGGTCTGGCAATGGGGGAAAGTTCTGGGGCCTCTGGGGTGGCTTCAGTTTACTCATCTGTAAAGTGGGGATGATGACCATGCCTTCCTTAAGGAGTTGTTTCAGGATTTAAGAGATGACAACACATCTGAAGTGCTTAGCTCAGCCCCTGGCCCACAGCGATGCCCAGTCATTAACTGTTGCTGCAGCTGTATGGGAAGTGCTGGGAAGGTGAGTGGGAAGGTGAGTGGCCTTCCTGTTGACACTGAGGGATTTGCTAAAGATCATCAGCTCTGTTTCGCAGGAACAGGGAGCAGGGCAAGTTATGAGCTGTGTGATGGTGGTGGTACTAGTGTGTGTGTGTGTGTGTGTGTGTGTGTGTGTGTGATCACAAGTTCTGATTTGTTATGTGGTTGCTGTTTCATTCATACTATAATTAGCTACAGAACTCAGTAGTCAAATGAAATCTTAGCAGGAATCCAAATAAACCCAGATGCAAAAGGTTGGAGGGCAGAAGCTGTTAGAAATAGGGGTGGGGCAGTGAGTCTGGAGCCCTACCCATTAGGATCAGAACCACCCCCTGCCGCCAGGCCTCCCTGCAGAAGGCTGCAGCTTGCTGACAGGGGCTCACACAAGCCTATGTGCACATCTCACAAGTCATGTTCAATTACTTCTCATTGGCAGCTTGAAACTGGCCATGCTGAGAGTATTGACACCACAGAAATTGGCAAACGCTACTCTGCCTTTGAAAGTTGTGAAACATGTATCAGGGCACCACTGCTGCCCTGCATCTCCCACTTGGGTCCTTAGCGATCCATGGAACCCAGTTTCAAAACTCCAGCTCCTCTAGAACAATTCTTGAAATATTTATGATGAAGTAAAGGTCTGAGTGGTGGTGTGGGCTGGCCACACACGTGACAATTTAACTAAGCTTTAATTTAACTTGAGGAATAGTGGCTTCATGCAAGGCAATGGCCTTGGAGGACCCCTGACTTGGAACTTTTTATTTTTTATAAACGATTTCATCTATACAATAAAGAGCTAATATGCTAATTAGACCGAACAGCAGAAAGCCCTGTGAATACTACCTATTTGACAACTTAAAGCACATCTACTTGCTATTTGTTCTCGAGGCTACTGGGGTAGAAGGAGCAGCACCCACTGCACTATGTCCTGCAGGTCACTGCAGTCGTCCAGAGCATGTGTCAGAAAACTTCTTCTGTAACAAGCCAGCGGGTAAATAGTTTCGGCTTCATGGGCCACATGGTCTCTGCTGCAACTCAGCTTGGCCACTGTAGATAGCAGGTGAATGGGCGTGGCTATGCTCTAATTAAATGTTATTTATAAACACTGAAATCTGAATTTGAACTGAAACTTGAATTTCATATACTTCTCATGTTTTGAAATACCAGAGGCCCAATGCACGAAATTCATGTAAGGAGCTCGGCCCTCGCAGCCCCTCACAGCCCCGGCTTCGTCCCTAGGGTCGTCGGGATGGTCTTTCTGCTGTTTGGTCTAATTAGCATATTAGCTCTTTATTGTATAGGATTATTCTTCTTTTGATTTTTTCAATCACTTAAAAATGTAAAAGATATTCGTTGCTTGTGGGCCATTCCAAAACGAGGTGGCGAATCCAGTTTGGCCCGAGAGCCACAGATTCCAATCCCTGCTTTGGAATGTGAAATGCCTCTGGGCATTCTAGTCTGCCCTGACACCTGGGCAGCATGCAACGCCAAGGATGGCCAATAAGTGGCGCTCACAGCCACTTTCCCTTGTGTCACTCATCCTCCCAGTCCTCTTGGCCACCACAGTCCCACAGTCCCCTCACAGCACAGAGCCCCACTGGCTGTCATCAGACTTGGCAGATTAAAACCCATTTTCATCACAGCTCCAGGACAAAGGAGGGCAGAAAGGAGGGAAGAGGGCATAGAGCTACTTAAAAACAGTAAACCGAGTGAGTCAGCAAACTCTGAGCAGTTAATCCAAAGCGTGAATTTGGAAAGAAGACTAGACTGGAATGTTGGGGAGGGGTGGCCAGGGAGGGAAGGAGACAGCCAGGGTGCATCCTCTTAACCACTTTGCTAAGTTCACCACCTGCTACAGGCGGTAAAGGACTGGGGATACCTTCCGTACTTCTGAACTTGTTTTTCCCCTGCCCGGAATGCCCAATCCCCTCTTTTGTCACCTGGCAAACTGCTACTCATCCTGCAAGACCTGGTTTAACGTCACCTCCTCTTTGGAGTCTTCCCAACCCTTCCACACCCGATTAACGGCTACATTCACATTTCATATTTGTTCAGGTATCTCTCCCCTATTTGCCTGGGGCCCTCCAGAGGGAAGAAGCTGCGTTTTACTCATCTTGGCGGCCCCAGAACCGATCGTAGGGTCTAGTGCGTCATAAAACACTCACGTAATGAAATCATGCATCTGGGCGACCAGAGGCACAACAGCGCGGCTGCCGGAAGGGATGGTGGATCCTCCCAAGAACTGCCCCTGGCTCCAGACTTACCAGGACGTCCTCCTTCACTGCTTGTGCTTGTGCAATGGTTCTGGCTTGTTCCTTTATTAGCTCATTAACTCAACTAATGCTTATTGAGAATCTACTAGGGGCAAAGCACTGGGTGGCCCTGAAGGCTGGGAACAAAGGACACAGACTCAAAGCCAGAGCCGGAGACAGCAGGAGGGGGCAGGGGAGGGGCCAGGGTAGCTGCACAGTGATGTTCAGGAGTAAGACCTGAATTCAGGTCCTCAGCACCATGTGGATGCTGGTTTTGGTGTGTTGCCAAAAGCCATGAGGCATAAGACCGGGCACAGCCTACTTAGTGGCATAGAAATATGGCTGGGCACACAGCTAAACCACATCTTCCAGTCTCCCTTGCAGATAGGCAGGCTGTGTGACTCCATCTGACCAACTGAACATGGACAAAAGTGATGACTTCACTTCCTGGTCCATGCCTTAAAGTTTTCCCATACAAGCCTCTGTGTTCTCTGGCTAAATAGAATTATGACCAGCTCCAAGGACCCAGAGGAAGGGAGAGCAAAGATACAGTGGGGGCCTGGGCCCCTGAGCTGGCATTTGAAGGTGAGCTGTCCAGAAAAGCGAAGCGGTCGCCAACCTTAAAGATAAAGTGGGGGCCTGGGCCCCTGAGCTGGCATTTGAAGGTGAGCTGTCCAGAAAAGCCACTAGACCAGTGGTTGCCAACCTTTCGGACCTCACGGACCACCAGTGGTCTGCGGACCACCGGTTGGCGACCGCTACACTAGACCAAGAACATGCCCGTGGACTATGATATGAGCAGGAAATAAACTGGCCATGTTAAGTCACCACAAGGCAGGGGCTGCTTGTTACCGTAGTGGCCTCGTCTGACTAATACATAAGCCTTCTGTCACTGTCAGAGTCTCTGACCCCAAACCCCCATCTTCACCCAGGTGGGCAGTAAGCTATTTGAGCAACAGCTGGGCTGTTCGGGATGCCCTCCCCAGTCCCCAGAACCGAATGCAAAAGCTTCACTCACCAATTATGAAGAACGAGAAAAGTGTCAGTTGTTTCCCCAGCTTGTCCATGCTTCTTTGTAGAGGAGTTTTAGGTGTCTGCAAGGATCGGAACAAAGGGTTTCTTAGATGACATCCCAGCAGCATCCCACGGCTTCTGCCTGGCTCATTTCTATCCTGAGCTGAGTGACAATTCCACAGGGGTACACATATATAAAAACTCACTGACCTCTACATGTAATGTCTGTGCACCTGACTGTAAGTTATATCTTGACAAAAATCCTAACACATGTCTTAAAATAAAAATTAATTTTTAAAAATTATACTCACATTAACCACACGATCCTCATTCCTAACAGGCGGGCAGGACTGGCATCACTAGCCAAGAAGATCTCAAAACCCAGCTCACAAGAAAACCAAAGCCCCCACGCGCCCTTACCTCTTCAGCCCGCATCATCTTAAACACTTCTCCGAACTGAGACCTCTCCCCTGTTCCGATCACGACTCCCTGGGTTCAGGAGAGAGAAGTGTAAGGTCTGAGGCTGGAAGCCTGCTGGTGACAGAAGCCACGGCCCCCAGGGTGCCTCAGGGCTCACCTGCCCCTTCCCGTACTGAACCAGGGTCCCCATGAAGACGATGTTTCTCAGGGCGGTGAGGTCCCCCTCGCCGGTCAACGGGGTGTCCGTCTTGCTGCATGGCTCAGCTTCTCCCGTGAAACTGGACTCATCTACCAGGAGGTCTGTGACCTGGGGGAGCAAAGGGAAAGGCCGTGGAACCTGCCCGCTCGCCCTGTGCACTGGTTTTCACGGCACAGAATGATGTCTAACACCTTCGTGTCCATCGCCAACAGACAACATAGAATTCCTCGAAATCAGGGGACAACAAGCAGAACGTGACCCGAGAGGCCTCAAGAATCAGAAAGCTTTGAACGTGTGGCTCCTCTCAAAAAACAGGAAAGTCTTGTATCTTCTTTTACATTATTTTAAGTTTTAATATAACATCTAAACAACACATAGGCAATGGCTAATTTAGAATATACCTTTCAAAGCACCCGTGCCTTTCACCTAACATTCCACATGCTGCCCCCTCTCCCCCTTGAAGGAGGCCATGAAATCGGTGAAGTTTGAGCATCACCGAGTCAGGTTATTCAGTGACAGCCCAAGGTCATATCAACACCAGAAACATGGACACTGACACACTCATTTTCTCTCTCTCTCTCTCTCTCTCTCTCTCTCTCTCTCTCTCTCTCTCTCGGAAGGTGCCAGCATTTCTTTAGCATCTACTGTGTACCAAGCCCTGCACTGAGCATGTCACACACCTTATCTCTTAATCCTCACACCCACCATGAAAGATGCTATTACTTCCTCCGTTTTTCCTATGGGGAAACTGAGGCACAGTGATAATGTGCTCAAGGTTAGACAGCTACTCAGTGGCAGAGCAGAGGTGGAGCCAAGGCTCTGCTTCCAAAAACTGCCCTCCCAACCATCTTCCAAACTGACCGCAGACCCAGTAGGCATCGCTCAAGAGGTGAGTCTGCTGTGGCCGGAACTGTTAACAGGCACTTTCGAGGACATTAGGGGCCTAGGATGGCCTGACCCCTCAGGACCCTGTTATCTGAGCATGTAAGACCCACTTAGAGAGAGGAGCCATCTTCCT